TTGGCACATGCGCAAGATCGCTGCTGAAGTGGTCCTCGCCTGGGCTAAGGTGTCTCCACTGAGTGCCTGGTCAGAGGAGAGAGACCTATCCAGGGCCCCGGTGATGAAAGCCATGTTGTTCGCCACCGCGACGACCTGAGCCGCATTGGCGTAACATCTGTCATGCATAGCCAGAGACATCCTATCCCGCTCGGAGGGAAGGAGAGGTCTGGTGCTGGGCCACACGGATGAGGAGGGGTGCAGGGCCGCCCGAACCGAGTCCTCGATGTCCGGGACCCCGCCTGTCCAGGACCAGTCCTGCACGTTGCAGTACATGCCATACCCCAAAGCGGGCCTCTTGGCCGCTAGGGGTTTTGGCCACTCACGTGTCGCGTAATGGACGATCGGGTCCATACGCGGGCACAACGTGGGCTGGGCTCTCCTCCTCCCTCGAGGGGCTGCGTACCCAGAGGTGAAGTCCTCCACCCTCTGGTTCGGTTGCGGTGGCAGGGGGGCATCCATGATGGCCGCCGCCGTGGCGTAGAGCCCAGGCATGTGGTCCAGCGGGAAGCGGTCCGGCTCCGGGTTGGACACCACCTCGTCCAGCGTGAGGAGAGAGCCGACCTCCGACACCTCTCCGTCCTCGCAGTCACCCCACTCCGCGGGCACAGGTGGAATGTCGAGGGGGGCCCAGTCAATCTCAGACTCCTCGTCCTTAGAGGAGTCCGGACGGGGCGCTGTAGCGGCGAAGAACGCGCGCCTGCGTTCACTCTCCTCCCTGGGGAGAGCGACACACGAGGCGCAGGTGGCGCTCAACGCCGCATGGCCCGCACCCAGGCACATGAAGCAGCTGGAGTGCTGGTCCTTGCGTTGGAGCTTGCCCCGACAGGTCGAGCAACGACGACGTCCGACGCCGGATGGCGAAGGGGAACTCGGACGTGCATCAGAAGACATCTTTCTTTCTCAGGTAACGAATGTAGATCTCAAACGGCGCCAGAGTGAAAGAGGGGGTGCGGCCTTGTGCAGGGGCATTTATAGAGGAAGGTGGCTGGTGATTGGAGCAAATTATTTTGATCTCTCTGGCGTCTGTGACCTGGGGGTCACGTGATATCCACTAGCGAAGTCCTAAGGGACGTAGCACCATGACGTAGAACTGGGCCGCCCGGTAGTTTAACCACTTAGAAGGAAGGTTTTCTTATAAAATGTTTTAAAATAGTAGTAAAAATGAGTCTAAAGCACTAGTTGTGAGGACAATGTTGGTGATGCCTTGTTGTTTTTTGGTGGATGACGGTCGACGGGCTGATTATGGTGCGTTCACTTGCTCTTTGTAATGCTGGTTTCTCCAACGCCTTGGCAATGATAGCATATGGGTGCTTGTGTAGCAATTTTCACACTCAAACAACACTGGTTAATATGCTATTCCTTTAGCATCATTCAGACGAAACAATGTGACGGCGGCTAAGAGCTAAAACTTCTGGGTCTGAGGTTTAGGAATGATCGAAAAAATGAAATGATAATAATAATACATAATACAATACATAGGGTATTTCTAGATCGTCTCAAGATCGTCTGATTTGCTTCTATCATCATCATGTGGAGAGAATGGAATAATATCAATAAGTCTGAACATTGTAAAGTGCTTTGGGTGACCTTAGTCTGTAAAATGCGCTATATAAATAAACATTTCTTACTTACTTAAAAACAAGTACAAAAGTACATTTAATAACACTGAATAGGCTTGTCTAAACAGATGAGTCTTGAGGTTTAGTGTTTGCTCTGTGGTGGCTTCTTTAGATATTGGTTCAAGAGTTCGGAGTAGAGTCGCTTCTCCTCCCTAGACGAAAAGAGGGGTGGGCATCTGTCTCCTGTATGCTGGTGGGGACTCGTTTGGGGAGTCAGAAATCAAAAGTGGCTCAGCTGGAGATAAGATTAGATAAGATAAGATCTCACAATGGAGAAATGTGTGAGATCTGTGCTTTGTGATACTGAAAGAATGTTGAAAGATTGTTTTTTTTCTTTTTATGTGGACCAGCATTTGAAAAAGAATTTGCACACATAAGCACTCCACAAAAACTTGGAGAATTCAGTTCAATTCCATGTATTTTTGTATAGCCCTAAATCACAACAGCAGTCGTCTCGGAGGACATAAAAAAATTGTTGATTTGCCAACAACAGACCTGAAAACCAGGCCAGCTATGGTTCAAACACAGGAAATGCAATAATAACAAACACATAAAGTAGCCATCGTTTCATAGGGAGTAGAATGACCAATATCCGTAAATGTTAATAAATGACTTGGATCGTCACTGTCCATAGACCCTCCTGTATCGGCAAGAAACCACTGAAAAAACACACAAAATAACTTAAAATGTCCTCTTTTGCTCCTAAATCCCTAACAAACAAACAAACCTCAATGGCTACTTCATGCCTGCTCAGCCCAAATCTCAAACTTGAGCCAAAATTCTCATTGTTTCTCCTGAATGATGCATTTTGTCATTGTCATACGAAGCCTTCTTTACATCAACATGATCCAATCCAGGCTGTTTTTGCACAATTCACTTCAGCCTATAACACATATAACTACTAACATCTCGGAGTGACGTTGGGACAGCGGACAACCAGCAGTATCATTTCGCAAACACGGGAAAAACTCAATAGGGAACCCTCATTCATCTCTGCTTTTCCATCCCATCATGCATGACAGACATACAGTAGCCTATTCTTATACAACTGTTCGGTGAAAATCAATGTTTATATGTTTGTGTAAATAACTACTGTATTTATTTTGATAGTTGACAATACAGTTTATTTCTTTACTAGTAGAAAAAATGTAAAAATTGATCATCTGTGTGTATCATGACGCAAAAAAACTAAAAATACCAAGAGGAGACTAGAGCAGGATTTTATATGGAGAAAGTTCATTTGAAAACTGTGGGGTCTCTCTCCCGGCCGCCATTTTGTGTCAGTTTTATGTATGTGTCATGACATTAACAGTACAAAATGATAAAAGAATGATTTTTGCTGCTGTCGAATCCACGTTTTCCAGTTTGGATTTAAGTGGTTTTTACCAAAGTGCTCACTGCTGCACCTCTATCACAAGAGTCTGTTCCGAAAACTGTACCTCTGTCCAACAACGGTCTTATCAATAAAGATGACAATAATACAACAAAGTCTGGATTGAATATTCTCTGTTGTTGTTCACACCGGAAACATTTCAGTGTTGCTTCACTGGTTACAGAACAGTAGGAATGAGGAGCAAAAGATATAAGAATAATAACTACATACTAAAATATGATATCTAGCTTTAGCATAATAAAGACACAAGTACAAAGTCTCTAGCTTTAGCATAATATAGAAGCTAGAATAAAATCTCTAGCTTTTGCATAATAAAGAATCTAGAATAAAATCTCTAGCTTTAGCATAATAAAGAAGCTAGTATAAAATCTCTAGCTTTTGCATAATAAAGAATCTAGAATAAAATCTCTAGCTTTTGCATAATAAAGAATCTAGAATAAAATCTCTAGCTTTAGCATAATAAAGAAGCTAGTATAAAATCTCTAGCTTTAGCATAATAAAGAAGCTAGTATCAAATCTCTAGCTTTAGCATAATAAAGAATCTAGAATAAAATCTCTAGCTTTTGCATAATAAAGAATCTAGAATAAAATCTCTAGCTTTAGCATAATAAAGAAGCTAGTATAAAATCTCTAGCTTTTGCATAATAAAGAATCTAGAATAAAATCTCTAGCTTTAGCATAATAAAGAAGCTAGTATAAAATCTCTAGCTTTTGCATAATAAAGAAGCTAGTATAAAATCTCTTTCCAAACAATTAATTTATGTTGCACCCAAAATCACAAGAGCAATAGCAGATTAGAAAAAAATAGACCATTAGAATCAAACTAATTAGAAAAAAACAAACAGGTTAAAGCTTGGGTATGTAACTTTCAACCAACCAACTACGCAAACTAAAAAATCTAGCATAGATCCTGGTCTAAACAGTTTAGCTTTAATTTGTATCACTAGCTTTGGGTCACATCTGTGGATCAGCTTTTTCAGAAAGAAGAGTGACAAAGAGAGGACCACCCTCACTCAGCCAATCACCTCTCAGCTCAAAGTGTCAAATGGTGACTCCCAAGGGTTCTACAAGTGTGCATTACACTTATACCTAACATAAACACAGCCTGTTTTGTTGTGGTTCATTCACAAGATTTCAGAGAGGGAGGCACAGTGGCAAAGCGGTTTGCATGTTTTCCCCGTGTCTGTGTAGTTTTCCTCCAGGTGCTCCGGTTTCCCCTACCACTAAAGAAAAATTACACTAGATTGGAAAATATCTGAACTCGCTACAATTGTAAAGCGCTTAGGGTGACCTTGGTCTGTAAATTTAGCTAAATAAATAATGATTACTTACTTACTTGTTTTTATTATTTAACCTTTATTTAACCAGGAAAGTCCCGATGAGATTAAGAACGTCTTTTTGGACAAAAGTTACATTACAATTACAGATTATAAAAACATTTCAATGAGGATGTCCCAAGTGCTCTCAATCTGGATCTAAAAGCATTCAATAAAATAATCTGAACGTTTATTTCAGTTGGACATACAACACGTGTTATTTATTACGCGTAAACTATATACCCAAGCATTAATTCATGTTTATCAGACCAATACACACATGTGACCACTAGATGTCCTTACAGCACACAGCTGCAGATTGACGAGGACAGGTCACTCCTATGATGGAGGAGGAGGCTTTGTTATTGCTCCTGTCATGATTTATATTTATAAATCTGAGCAAACTGGAGACTTTGAATATGCTGCATTCAATAAACAAATAAAAGCGACACAGCGTTATTGACAAACCGAGAACTTTGACTGGGATAATGTCAACAAAGAGCTAGCTCAGTGCCCCGTTAGCATTAGCTTTAGCATCACAGAACTAGCTAGCTGCGTGCGCTCTTAGCAATAGCATTAGCATCACACCGGCTTCGAGTGGATTTTTTATTTAAATATACTGCTGCAATAATGAGCGAAGACGACAAATCACCGACTGCGAACAAAGATAAAGAGTCTACGCTTTTGTTCACTAAAGATGGACAGAAATACTACATGAACAAAAGCGGAGGACTGGACAGCAGGTGTGTATTTTTTATTTATTTTATTTGTATTATTAACAAAGAATATCAAGATAATAAATATCACTCAAGAAAAAATACTACGTATGTACATGCTATACTATTATAAAAATAAATTAGGCACAGCATGTTTAGTTGAAAATTATTGAATTATTATCGTTATTCATATAGAGATCAGAGGGAGAGAGTGAGACCAGAGAGTGAGACCAGAGAGTGAGACCAGAGAGTGAGACCAGAGAGTGAGACCAGAGAGTGAGACCAGAGAGTGAGACCAGAGAGTGAGACCAGAGAGTGAGACCAGAGAGTGAGACGAACGAGAAAGGGAGGCTCGAGAGAGACCAGAGAACAGTTTTGCATACAGGACAAGTATTCATACCCCAAGAGTACAGAGATCATCTTCAATTGTAAATCAATATCTCCATAATTCCAGGAACGTCATCACTCCTCACGATGCAGAGAGCGCGTCCTACGACATGGACGACCCGGACGAGGACTGCGACATGCTGGACACCTCGGACATGGGCAGAGATGCCACGGCGAGCCCAGAAGAGCTCAACGACGAGGAGGCGTCAGAGGGAGACAACCTGCCCAAGCAGTGCACCTACGAGGGCTGCACCGAGACCACGACGCAGGTGGCCAAGCAGCGCAAGCCCTGGATGTGCAAGAAACACCGCAACAAGATGTACAAGGACAAGTACAAGAAGAAGAAGAGCGACCAGGCCATGTCCAGCGGCAAACTGGACGTGTGTAGATTTATTTTATTCATGTAGTGAATAGTGTGTGATGGTCAGGCCTGTCACTGTGTTTACCTGATTTATTCATATTTCTGAGCAATAATAATTAGCATTTTTATTGTAACAGTGTAAGACCTTTCTCTTGGTTCTCTAGTCTCTCTCTCTCTCTCTTGGTTCTTTGGTCTGACCTCTTTCTCTCCTGTCAAATTTACCTGATCCTGAAGTCTTTCATATTTTGGGGCACAATATTAATTATTTTTGGTGTAGTAGTGCAATATTTAGTGTAGTATAGTACTGTCTAGTTATCTAGCGGGTCCAAACTAAGGCCCACGGGCAAGATTAGGCCAGCTTTGTCATTTTCTATGGTCCTCTGCCATTAAGGTACATTCACAATGTCATCCAACCAACTTCAGCTCCACCTTCAGCTGAAGTTGGTGGTAAAGGTTCTGACCTGCACCTTGTGATAAAATCCAGTTAAGTTTATTTGTATACACTGACATTTGCTTTTGATTGTTCAGGAGAGCGCGGAGGAGCGGCCAGTGTCCGTGAACAAGCAGAGGTTGGGGGCGATGGGAGACCGTCCTGCGCGGCCGTCGCTTATTGAACAGGTCCTGAATCAGAAGAGGCTGGTGAGTTCAAACAAGTGTGTGGAGTCAGTCCAATATGTTGGGGAGATTCTCACCTGCGTTCAGGAATAATGCCTCCTTCCACGGCAGATTTGGGGTTGAATTGTTTTATAGGTTTCTTTTGAAACTTATTATTTTCACAACGCTGCCATCTTATTCTTATGTCATGATAAAAGTAATAAGGCCAGACAGAGACTAGAGAGAGAGGGAGTCCAGAAAGAGAGTCCAGAAAGAGAGTTGGGTGTCCAAACCGGTCCAGAAAGGGCCGCTGTGGCTGCAGGTTTTCTATCAGACCCAGCAGGAGCAGAGCAGACTCCACCCATTTAATCAAATCTTCAGGTTAAGACTGAAGTCAATGGAGGAAATGGGTTTTTCTGCTCTGCTCCTGCTGGGTCTGATGGAAAACCTGTAGCCACAGCGGCCCTTTCTGGACCAGTTGGGACACCCCTGGACTAGAGAGAGAGGGAGTCCAGAGAGAGTCCAGAAAGAGACTAGAGAGAGGGGGAGTCCAGGGAGAGAGAGAGAGGGAGTCCAGGGAGGGAGTCCAGGGAGGGAGTCCAGGGAGGGAGTCCAGGGAGAGAGTCCAGGGAGAGAGTCCAGGGAGAGAGTCCAGGGAGAGAGTCCAGGGAGAGAGTCCAGGGAGAGAGTCCAGGGAGAGAGTCCAGGGAGAGAGTCCAGGGAGAGAGTCCAGGGAGAGAGAGAGAGGGAGTCCAGGGAGAGAGTCCAGGGAGAGAGTCCAGGAGAGAGTCCAGGGAGAGAGTCCAGGGAGAGAGTCCAGGGAGAGAGTCCAGGGAGAGAGTCCAGGGAGAGAGTCCAGGGAGAGAGTCCAGGGAGAGAGTCCAGGGAGAGAGTCCAGGGAGAGAGTCCAGGGAGAGAGTCCAGGGAGAGAGTCCAGGGAGAGAGTCCGGGAGTCCAGGGAGAGAGTGAGTCCAGGGAGAGAGTGAGTCCAGGGAGAGAGTGAGTCCAGGGAGAGAGTGAGTCCAGGGAGAGAGTGAGTCCAGGGAGAGAGTGAGTCCAGGGAGAGAGTGAGTCCAGGGAGAGAGTGAGTCCAGGGAGAGAGTGAGTCCAGGGAGAGAGTGAGTCCAGGGAGAGAGTGAGTCCAGGGAGAGAGTGAGTCCAGGGAGAGAGAGAGTCCAGGGAGAGAGTCCAGGGAGAGAGTCCAGGGAGAGAGTCCAGGGAGAGAGTCCAGGGAGAGAGTCCAGGGAGAGAGTCCAGGGAGAGAGTCCAGGCAGAGAGTCCAGGCAGAGAGTCCAGGCAGAGAGAACGAGAGTCCAGAGAGAGCGAGAATAACGGAACCATATTTTATAGGTGCTGACAAAGATGTAAAAATTTTTAGTCGGCCAAACCTCATTATGTCAAAATATAATAAATCATGACTCTAATTTAGGGCAATTTTAAATGTGTTTATTATTGAGGAATTGTACCGTTCTAGACGGAAATGAAATACAAGAAAAATGTCCATGGAAAACTTTAGACATCCTTCCCTTAAAGTCTTAGAAAGCCTGTCTCAACAAGTACAAAGGACAAAGTGGCATCTATGTGTGATTTGGGATGCGGCCGTTCAGTCTGTGCTCCGTCAGATTTTTCCACCTCTTATTTTAGAAAGCTTTGTTTTGTCCTGGTGCAGCTGCCGCCATCACTGGGATTTCTGTGGCTCCAGCGACAGACAGACGCAGCTGCTTTCTCTGGCAGCGACGGAAGCAACTGCTCTGATTGTTCTGCTCCTCTCTCCTTCAGGATCATGAGAGAAATAAACATGGCTTTCTAGTTTTAATGTTGATGGTAATTCATCAAAAATAGCATTCTCAGAAACGACAAAACAACTGCAATTTGCCCCCAAAAACAAAACAAAAACCTATTAGATTCAAATTCCATCCATCCATCCATCCATTTTCTACCCTTTAATCCATTTCTGGGTCAGGGGGGTGGCAGTCAGAGATGCCACCCAAGTCTCATAGCACCAGCCCCTCACTGACCCTCTGCAGGTGGTGAGTCCACAGGAGGACGGCTGCTCTCTGACTGTGAGCATAGCCTTGATCTTTCAGTGGGGGCTTTGGGCAAAGTGGGGTTAAGTGTCTTGCCCAAGGACACAACGACAGCAGTCATCAGTGGGAGTCGATGGAGAAGGTGCAGAGGTGGGAATTGAACCCACGACCTTCTGGCCTTAAGGCCAATGCTCTACCAACTGAGCTACTGTCGCCCCTTGAATCGTCGTAGATTCAAATTGATTATGATAAATATTGCTTTATGTATTCAAAGTGCATTAACGATGGGAAACAGACGATTCTGAACTTTTAACCCCGGTTTGTGCTGGTTTAGCTCTTGTTTTGGCTGTTTCCTTTGTCTTCTTGCCCTGACCAGCTTGTGTCCGCGTGACCACTTTGCTGCTCTCTGATTGGTCGCTGCATGTGCGTCTGGCAAAAAAATCTCCTGCGTTCCCCGCACTTCCACAACCCATCAGGATCTCAGACTCACTACAGAACTTCCAATCGCTGCTCAAAACCCACGTGTTCAGTGTCCAGTATTTGTTTTTTTCACTACCTCTCTGACCCTAACCTCTCTCTCTCTCTCTCTCTGGTCTGTCTCTCTCTGACCCTAACCTCTCTCTCTCTCTGACCCTAACCTCTCTCTCTCTCTCTCTCTCTGGTCTGTCTCTCTCTGACCCTAACCTCTCTCTCTCTCTGGTCTGTCCCTCTCTGACCCTAACCTCTCTTTCTCTCTGGTCTGTCTCTCTCTCACCCTAACCTGTCTCTCTCTCTCTCTGACCCTAACCTCTCTCTCTCTCTGGTCTGTCTCTCTCTGACCCTAACCTCTCTCTCTCTCTGGTCTGTCTCTCTCTGACCCTAACCTCTCTCTCTCTCTGGTCTGTCCCTCTCTGACCCTAACCTCTCTTTCTCTCTGGTCTGTCTCTCTCTCACCCTAACCTGTCTCTCTCTCTCTCTGACCCTAACCTCTCTCTCTCTCTGGTCTGTCTCTCTCTGACCCTAACCTCTCTTTCTCTCTGGTCTGTCTCTCTCTGACCCTAACCTCTCTTTCTCTCTGGTCTGTCCCTCTCTGACCCTAACCTCTCTCTCTCTGGTCTGTCTCTCTCTCACCCTAACCTCTCCCTCTCTCTCTCTGGTCTGTCCCTCTCTGACCCTAACCTCTCTTTCTCTCTGGTCTGTCTCTCTCTCACCCTAACCTGTCTCTCTCTCTCTGGTCTGTCTCTCTCTGACCCTAACCTCTCTCTCTCTCTGGTCTGTCCCTCTCTGACCCTAACCTCTCTCTCTCTCTGGTCTGTCTCTCTCTGACCCTAACCTCTCTCTCTCTCTGACCCTAACCTCTCTCTCTCTCTCTCTCTCTGGTCTGTCTCTCTCTGACCCTAACCTCTCTCTCTCTCTGGTCTGTCCCTCTCTGACCCTAACCTCTCTTTCTCTCTGGTCTGTCTCTCTCTCACCCTAACCTGTCTCTCTCTCTCTCTGACCCTAACCTCTCTCTCTCTCTGGTCTGTCTCTCTCTGACCCTAACCTCTCTCTCTCTCTGGTCTGTCTCTCTCTGACCCTAACCTCTCTGTCTCTCTGGTCTGTCTCTCTCTGACCCTAACCTCTCTGTCTCTCTGGTCTGTCTCTCTCTGACCCTAACCTCTCTCTCTCTCTGGTCTGTCCCTCTCTGACCCTAACCTCTCTTTCTCTCTGGTCTGTCTCTCTCTCACCCTAACCTGTCTCTCTCTCTCTCTGACCCTAACCTCTCTCTCTCTCTGGTCTGTCTCTCTCTGACCCTAACCTCTCTTTCTCTCTGGTCTGTCCCTCTCTGACCCTAACCTCTCTCTCTCTGGTCTGTCTCTCTCTCACCCTAACCTCTCCCTCTCTCTCTCTGGTCTGTCCCTCTCTGACCCTAACCTCTCTTTCTCTCTGGTCTGTCTCTCTCTGACCCTAACCTCTCTCTCTCTCTGGTCTGTCTCTCTCTGACCCTAACCTCTCTATCTCTCTGGTCTGTCCCTCTCTGACCCTAACCTCTCTCTCTCTGGTCTGTCTCTCTCTCACCCTAACCTCTCCCTCTCTCTCTCTGGTCTGTCCCTCTCTGACCCTAACCTCTCTTTCTCTCTGGTCTGTCTCTCTCTCACCCTAACCTGTCTCTCTCTCTCTGGTCTGTCTCTCTCTGACCCTAACCTCTCTCTCTCTCTGGTCTGTCCCTCTCTGACCCTAACCTCTCTCTCTCTCTGGTCTGTCCCTCTCTGACCCTAACCTCTCTCTCTCTCTGGTCTGTCTCTCTCTGACCCTAACCTCTCTCTCTCTCTGGTCTGTCTCTCTCTGACCCTAACCTCTCTCTCCTCTTCCTCTACAGTCCTTGCTGAGGTCTCCGGAGGTCATCAGTTTCCTCCAGCAGCAGCAGCAGCTCCTCGTGGCTCAGAATCGCTCTCAGTCGCAGCCTCAGTTTCCAGGCTGCTGACACCGGCTCCGGCGCGAGATCACCGCAACAACTGTCATCCTGGAAATTTAGAGAGAAAAACAGTCGGAAATCTGTGGACTGTAAGTGACGATGAAGACTCGCTCTCCTGGGGTCCGGGGAACTTTGTAGTCACAAATTTTCCCTCAGAGAGATACTTTCTCAATTAAATGTTCAATTATTTTTATTTTTATATAGCCGTAAATCACAATAGCAGTCGATTCGCCGACACAGATCAGAGAATCAAACACACCGCAATGATAACAAAAATACATTGGTCGGAAAAACTACATACTAATCCTGATATATGTCAATTATAGATTAAAAACACTACAAATGTAAACAATTTAAAGGTGATGTCTGCGACTCTAATCATATTTCATTTATAGACAACAGGGTCATATGCTCAAAAATATGTATTAAGTCCATCCATCCATTTTCTTCCGCTTCATCTGTTGCCGGGTCGCTGGGGCAGCAGTCTAAGCAGAGACGCCCAGACTTCCCTATCCACACACACTTCCTCCAGCTCGTCCGGGGGGACCCCAAGGCGTTCCCAGGCCAGAGAGAGACATAGTCCCTCCAGCGTGTCTTGGGTCTTCATTGGGGTCTCCTACCGGTGGAACGTGCCCGGAACACCTCATGTATTTAGTGTTTTTCACAATAAATACATAATAAATACCCTCCCCTTGGATTAACCAGCACCAGTCAGATTTGCAAGGTATAGTTGGACAAATAGGGAGGGGCCTCAGCCATCCATCGGGTCTAACTGCTGCTTGTATTGTCACAATTTGAAAAGAAACTAACCTTCAGTTTAGAAATATATAACAGACAGTTCATGTTTTCTGGATAAAACCTGTCTGCAGTGTCTCCTGTGTCCACGAGATGGCGCTGTGCAAAGGACCTCTGTCCTTTTACTATCTCAAAAAACAACTTAATGGAAAGAATCACTGCCACTCATTAATTATCAAAGTAATTGTTAGTTTCAGCCTCAATCTGAACAGAATTGGAGAGAGTGGAAAGGATGAGAAGAGAGGGAAGAGGAGAGAGAAGGGAGGAGGAGAGAGGATCTCTCTCTCAAAATTCAATTACATTTCATTGCATTAGTTTAAAATGATCCCTCATTTTTTCCACGTTACTTTCTACTACGGTCCGTGAGGAAATGACTCTTGGCACCCTGAGCTTACAGACAATAATAATACATTTAATACCTGTTACACCTCATATTTCCACATAACCTGAAAGTGCTACAGATAAAAATACAGCACAGCATATAAAAAAGAACATTATAATTACATAAAAATATTGAATTTATCGAAAGAAACATGAGCTGGAAATGGCTTTGACCCCAGAGAGAGAGAGAGAGAGTCTGGCACAGTCCCACAGACGGCGAGAACATGGTGCTTCTGTGCAACAAATAAACTCATTTATTATTGAAAAAGCATACGATTGTTTTGCTCAAAGCCTGTATTTATGACCTCTTTAACTCTACGTGTTTGTGTGTGTTTGATAATGTAGTTGGAATGAATGAATTAAAATGAAATACAAGGGAATATCACAAAACGAGAAGAGAGAAAGAACTGAAGGAGTTAGCATTGAGTTTTGTGACATTTTTATGCATCGGTCGAAAGCAAAAAAGCAAAATCTAGCGCCTGGTCGTTCTTATATTTGAATTTTAGTAATATATATAAATGTATTTTATCGCTACTTGTCTAAGCAAAAATGCCACATGAGAATTATAATGATGGGAAAAACACTCAATAATCTGTGTTTAATTTATTCATTTGTGTTGAGTTTGTCCAGAGAAACTATCAGACAAATGTGTAGCATTGAGTCCATGTTCTTAAATGTATTTCTGCATTCAAGAAAAGTGTGACAAGTGTGTACAGTCTGTGATTGAACTGTTTTTACCTGAGAGCATGTTATGAAGTAAATGATACTGACAACGCAATATTGTGTTTTCTTCTTGTACATTACAGTGCATTTTTAAAGTTAAGGTAATGTTTGGATGTGTGAACTGATCTCCAACAAACTTAAAGATAAACACCTGTTTTACTGGATATGTATAAGTCAGGTGTGGAAAACCAGTCCTCAGGTCCAGTATTAACCTGAAGACTTTTGTGCCATCCTAAATTTTAATGATTTTCCCCTTACTTCACCAGCCCTGGGTCATTTAAACTCTAGTTTTGGGCGTTTTCCTCCTGCTTTGATTCACGGTATTGGGTCATTTTGACCTGAGGACAGCAGAAGGAGATGGGCTGGTGTGCTCTTGGTTAGAATGAAAACCTGCAGCCACACTGACAGACACACCATATTTTTCAGATTATAAATCAGTTTTTGTCATAATTATACTCGACATGCGACATGACATTAACAAACCAGACACGTTCTCAGTTCCTTGTTTATGCCTCTTATAACGTACACTTATTCAGCCTATTCTCTATTTGATTGTTACTTTAATTTGCCTTTCAAGATGAAATGTCTATTCCTCGTTTTGTATTTTATCAAATACATTTCCCCAAAATTGCAACTTGCACTCTAATGTGACATATAATCTGAAAAATATGGTCTAAACAACTGTGTGGTTTAGTAGTACTTTCTGGACTTTGAAGTATTCTTGTATATAAACTGCACCAGCTGATTTTTTTTTATCAGAAAGTACATATTGTCCACATTAAAGCAGAACTTTGGTTAAAGGTTTTCATGTTGTATTGTAACACAAACAACAGCTGATGGAAGAAGACAAAGAAGATGGAAAACTGTTTTTAATCATAACACGATTTAATGATGAGGTGTTTTTACTGCATTCGTGCTAAATCCTAATGGTTCACACACTTTACATACATACACACTTTCTTCTGCTTTATCCGTTGCCGGGTCGCATAAGGGCATCAGTCTAAGAAGCAGAAGCACACAGACTTCCCTATCCACACACACTTCCTCCAGCTCGTCCGGGGGGACCCCAAGGCGTTCCCAGGCCAGAGTGAGACACAGTGCCTCTGTGTGTCCTCTCGACGTGGAGAAGCAGCGGCTCTACTGCAAGCTCCTCCTCTGTGACTGAGCTCCTTAACCGATCTCTAAAGAAGCACACATACATAACCAAATATTTTAATAACGCTAAGACACATTAATTTACAAAAATCATATTTAATAGAAAGAATAATACATAAAATCAACAACAAACGACAATAAAACTGTCCAGGCTACAGCAACGACACATTCAGTACCTAAAGCTCCCAGTGGGTTCTGTGCAGAGTAAATACAGACATCAAAGTTATAAATAAGTCTCATCTATGAAGAACTATAAATATAAACCAGCAGAACTACATGCACCTTCATGGTTTTACAGCACAAAGCAGCGTTTGAGACGCGTTGAAATGAGCGGAGACGGTTTAAACACAAGGACCATGTGCGGAGGCGACCGAAAGTATTCATACACTCTGAACTCTCGCACGTTTGGTCATGTGACAGCCACAAATATGAAGATTTTGTTGTTAATATTTTACTGTAAAACCACAAAAAAGTAAAGACAACTGCGAAGGGAATGCAAAATGACAAGTGATTTGGTTTGTTTGGCTAAAAAACCTGAAAAGTGGGGTTTGCATAAGTAATCATACAGCACACGATAATAGCATAGACTTGGACAATGCTAACCTGCTAGCTTAACAAGGCCCAATCAGATCCATGGGCCCAATAGGGAAGTGCTTGAGTACCTAATTTTCGCTCTGACTCTTATTGACAGAAAAGTGAACTCCTTGAGCTCAGTTTGTGTCACACACACCATTTTGGGTTTTGAAAATCTGTGGTTTAATGCTCTCGATGATCCTGGCGTGTACATTTTGGTTGTGTCTGTATAAATCCGGATATGAGCCACAAAGATTGACTAATCACAGGCCTTCATTCACGGGAGAAACTCCAGCTCAGCTTAGCAACAGTCTCAGCAAAACGTCTGCCCCTGTTATGGCGCAAACAGAGGCATAGAAATACAGAAATTGCCGTATGAGGAAATTGGTTCCCGCTAGCTTATGTTCAAATTGGCTTCTTCCATGTTAAGGCTAACCCTACGGTGATGTCACACTCGGTCAGTCCCCTGCTGACATATAGTCTATGGGTAACACAGAATTCCAAGCTCCAAATGCCCTTTGTCCAATAATGTCCTGTCTTTTTGCTCCATCTGCTAAAGCTAACAAACTAACACTGCTCCTGACCCATTCGTGAACCATCCCCAGCCTCAACTGTGGGGGTGGCAGCATCATGTTATGGGGCTGTTTTTCTTCAGCAGGCACAGGGAAAATCTGTGGAGTGATAAGAGTCAGAGTTGATCAGAAAGTGGTTGGAGTAAAATGCAGGACATTATTGGACGAAAAGCTTCTCGAGATGGGATTTGCACATAGTATTATCTGGTGCTGTATGAATACTTATGCAACCCCCACTTTTTTTTCATCAATTAACAAAATTGTGTAACATTTCTATTTACTGCACAGTTGTCTGTTACTTTGTTGCGGTCTTTCAGTAAAATATTAAAAATAAAATCGTCATGTTTGTGGCTGTAGCGCGACCAAATGTGCACGAGATGAGAGTGTATGAATACTTTTGCAAGGCACTGTCTCGCAATGGAATCAAAGTTTCAGTAGTTATTATTATTCTATTTTCTCGGATAGAACTTGTAGTAAATATTTGGAACAGTTTTTCATCAGTCAAATCTCAGTTTGTGACAGAGAAGTTGAAGTTGTTTTAGATATAGGTTGTAAAGCTGAGTTCTGAGTGGAATCCTTCTCTCGTATCCAATCCGGTCGCAGCGTTGGACGGTCACATGACCAGAGTCTCATGAGACGGAGGAAATGGGGTTGTGAGGAGAGCCCATCTGCGTCAAGACTTTATCCAGCCACTGCAGAGGCCCGTGCAGGTGCACCTCTATCCAGCAGGGGGTGCTAGTCACGTCCTGCCGGTGGTACTCCGCTCCCCAGCCCTGGAAACACAACAAATAATACGTTTATGGTGATTAGTCTGCACAACAATAATATTGTGATTTTGTTTTGTCATTAAACAAAAAATACAAGCCTGTGTGGGGTTAATACAGAAGACAAGTTTATTGGTTAGAGCTGGGCAGCCTAAGAGTGGCAATACTTGATGTGAAAACCAGATCCTGTCAGACTTCTGAAGCTAAGCAGGGCAAAACCTGGTTAGTACTGTGATGGGAGACCTCTGGGAACACCAGGTGCCGAGGTGGGGTTGGCTGCGGCTGTATAGTGCAAAACTGTGGTGGTTGTGTTGTAAGTATAGACTGACTTTTGGACCATCCTGTAAAGATGTTTTCGAAAGGTAAGAAAACCCCAGGCAAAAGCATTGGGTAATTCTCTTTCCGGGTACACCCCCACCAGCAAGGAGTGAGATTTCAAACATGTCAGTGGATGTGCTCATGGACCTTTTTGAGCCAGGGCCTGCCCCCACTGGTCGTAAGGAAAACCACGTCACCCACTTTGCCTTGAGTGAGTCTGGTGTGTGCGTGTGTATGTGTGTGTGTGTGAGCCTTGCTTCTGTCAATGTTTCCCAGGGCAGCTGTGGCTACAACACTGTGTATGGAGTGAATGAATAATGACAAGTGAACTGTCTTTGAGTGTCTGAAAAAGTGCTGTATAAAACCGATGCATCGAACCCGGGACCTTCTTGCTGTGAGGTACCAAGTGCTAATCACTGCGCCACAGTGCTGCCCATTTTAAGTCATAACAGTTCTATCAAAGGTAGACAGTCTTTTGGAATATTGTACAGGTTTGATTGCCATAGTTAGCAGTTTCAGTGACAGACTTATCCACCCTCGCTGCGTGAAGGAGAGGTCTTTCCTTCCTGCTGCTGTCAGACTGTACAATGAGAACTGCTGAATCTGGACATGTCATTCATCTGTAAATAAATAAATACTGCAATGAGACTGAATGTCACTTTATTTACTGATTACCCTGCCCTATATGTACAGTATATAACTTTGCACTAAGTATATTTTGAAAGACTGTTAGTGAAGCATTTACAGCTAGCTAAGAAACCTAGCAGCTACTTATATTTTGTGTGTCTCTTACGACTGTCCTCTCTGCGCGCTGCAACACTGAAATTTCCCCACTGTGGGACGAATAAAGGATCTCATATCATATCTTATCTAGTACTTTTATCATAACTGCAAAAAGAACAATCTCTCAGCTCTGTGATTGACAAAGGCTGGAGACCCCTGCTCAGACCCAGTCCAGAACAGAGTCCGTGGGGGTCTGACCTTGACGAAGCTCATGCGGATGGTGCACATCTTGGTGAGTTCGTAGACCACCTCGAAGCCATGGTTCACAGACTGAGCCAGCAGCTGCGCGAACAGCTGGTTGTTGAAGATCTTGAGGCTGCAGCCGCTGGGGATCTTACAGACGGTGGTGGCGTGGAACCCGTGCTGGAAGTTACAGTTCCTGCTCTGCACGAAGATGCTGCTGTCACTCAGGCACTCGGCGTACACCTCGCCCCCCACGTAGTACAGGTGCAGGCCTAGAACACACAATATACACTTTACTTAAAGGTGCAGTGAGCGATGTTGTTAGCTTAGCCGTAGCACCAACTGGAAACCACTCCCCCCTACCCTCCCTCGTCACCAAACCAAACATCCAGCATTTTCTTTTCTTAGTCACAACAGGGAGAGTGGACGGCAAACGTGAAATTGGCATTTTCTGTTCAGCCATTTTAGGTTTTAGAAAATCCGATAACTCGGGTGCACTTGCGAGAAACAGGAAGAGGTTGAAGGGGATGAACGAATCCCATTGGTTTATTTTTATCGGCCCACTCCAAAATATGTTGTATTAATTTTTGTAGACTATAGGCATCTGGTCAATTTCATTACTATTTGAAAACACATGATAACTTGGGGTTTAGGGAGGTTTTTCCACAATATTTAAAAAAATGTGTCTGGGAAAATCACTGACTGCCTCTTTAACACTCCTTGTTCATGTTTGCCTCTTTGTATTTTTGTTTTGAAATTTTTGTTTCTGAAATGTGTTGTATTTTTACTCAGTCCTTGGAACATGTATAATTCTGTTTTGTTACTTGTCTCAAAGCTTCTGTCTCTTTTATGTTTTTAGCATTTTATTTTTTTGATGTTTAAAAATCTGTCTCGGTATTTTGAGGGGTTTGGGAGGATGATGGAGCAAGTTTGTTTTTGTCCTGATGTATGTTTTGTCCATATTGTACTGTTTTTTGTTAATAGTAATCTGTCTTTTATGTTTATGGACCCCGTTGAAAACTAGAGGGCCCATCTCACAGGGCATTCCATTCCGACTACTTTCACTGCGTACACTTGTTCACTGTGATGCCCTCTACAGGTGTACAAGGGGCCATGATATATTATTGCCTCGGGCGCCTGATGGCCTAGGACTGACCCTGGTGATGGGAGACCTCTGGGAACACCAGCTGCCACGGTGGCGCGGCTGCGGCTGTGGCTGTAATGTGCCAAACTGCGGTTGTGTCCTTAGGCAAGACACTTCACCCACATTAGAATGAGTCTGGTGTGCGTGTGAATGGTTGGTGGTGGTCGGAGGGGCCGATGGCACAGACTGGTTGCCTCGGTTCTGTCATTGTGCCCCAGGGCAGCTGCGGCAACACAAGTAGTTTATCATCATGACGTGATGAATGTTGACATTATCTATGTTTACATTTATCCGGCTGATTCTCCAATCAGAAAGCAGAATGAGCATCACTCGAGTCTCTCATTTGGGCTGAGGGATGTGAACATAAAGGACAGAGCCTCAAGGACAGTGATAAACCTGCTTCATGATAAAGTTCACATGTTTTTGTGAAAACAGGACTTTGTCTCGATGTCGCAGCCTTGAGTTTCCACTATCACTGTTTACTGTCACTGCAGGAAAAAAACTTCACCATGAGCACTTCCCTGTCAGGTTTCATTGAGCTAGCAGATAAGCATTGTCCATCAATAAAGTCTAAACCACAGGGGAACATGTTACTGCAGCACTGATGGGGAGGCGAATATGAGCAAAAATGGCGTGTTATACTTCATTTTAAAAATACATTTAAATAAAATCATTCATTTTATCCTAAAATTTAAATCCAACACAAAATAATAAAGTGTTAGTATAAATCTAATCCTTTAACTAAAACCCAGTTTTTCTTCAGTCCAAACATACAGAAATGTATCAGAAAATAATCCAAACTTAAATGACTGTTACAAACACATGATCACACATTTAGAAAATTCAGTTTTTAAAAAGCTTTGTTTTGAATCTGGAGTGAAATTATTGTGTAAACAACTCTGTGTGCCTCTGATAAAGGTTTGTCAGCTGAAACAGTTAGCTCAGTGCCCCAGTGGCCTAATGGATAGGTCAGCACTAGATCATATACGGAATCGGGACGGAAGCGGAAGTAAATATTAAAAACTACCTATTCATGCCTAAACTTAACCAGCCAATCCCATAAAATAACCCAACCCAGCCTAAACCCTAACCTTAACCATCTTACTCAGACGCCTAAAACCTAACCAGTCACCACTTAAGGACTTATTAGTCTAAAACTAATTCGAAAGTACGAGTGTTACTTCCGGTTTCGTCCCGATTCCGTATATGATCTAGTGCCGACCCTTATGGATAAGGCACTGCCCTCCTAAGGCAGGGATTGTGGGTTCGAGTCCCATCTGGGGTGAGGGATAAGTGCAGTTTGATACAGAAGCTTGAGTTTGCTACAGTTGGGCTTTAGTCTTGGGACTTGATCTAAAGATGCAACTGTGCAGAGGTTGATAGATCGAAACCACCCTCTGCTACAAGGAAGTGGACTCTTTTCATCCAACACCACCGTAGTTCTGAAGTTTGAACAAATAAACTTCCTCCATAGTGTAAAAAATGCATTAGATTCAATCACAGTCTCCTGGAACTGTTAATGTTTAAATCTGGCCCCGATCAAAATGAGTGTGACACCTCGGTCTCACCCACAGACCCCCTGACCTCCCCCACAGACCCCCTGACCCCACCCTCACCCACACCCCCCCCTGACCTCACCCACAACCCCCCCCTGACCTTACCCTTGCCAATGTGGCGGCGTGTGTGCTCGATGGTGGAGTTGCGGTTGACGTTGGACAGCAGACCGAGACAGAAGCGGTTCTTGTTGTTGGAGGGGTCCGTGAAGCCATCAACCAGAACGCTGCGAGACGAGGCGTGGAAGGTCTCGCCCACGCGGTTGTTCAGCTCGTAGTACGCGATGGAGCACCAGTACTCGGGCTCCTCGTAGCACACCGGCCGCAAGTCTGAGCAGGGAACGGACAAAATGGATTGGTGATGATCCAGGACACATCCAACCACATTTATGGACCAATGGCTCTGTGTGTTTTTATCAATGCATTTCTTGTGTTTGATTCTCTGATCTGTGTTGGAGAAGACAAGAATAAATGAAATTGAGTTTGGTGCAGTGGTCACCTCTGTGTGGAGCGGAGAAGGTCAGTTTGGTCGTCTCCTCCTTCACGTCCTCCTGTGGACTGGACTCCATCATGCTGTAGGGCGGAGGCGGCGTCTCTCCTGAAACACAAATACACACTTAAAACAGATACACCAACAACTTTTTGAATTTCTCATATAATCAGCTCGGCGTGAACTCTTTGATGTTCACTCCAAGCAATGTCATTTTATTTTGTTTTATTTTCTCAGATGTAGGAGCACTATTTCTCTGAATAATATTGGTTTGAATTGGAGTAGTCCAAATGACAGCTCTGGGAGTTCAAGTAGTTTCAGAATTCTGAGTGTTAAAGGTTGGACCAAAAATGCACATGAGCTGAGTAATTACACTAAACCAAAACTAAAACCTGTCAAATTGACTGCTCTGAGAGTTCTGGGAGTCCGGTACCTGTTATGTGGAAGGGGCTCCCAGGGTCTGTGGAGCTGCTGGGGGACTGGGGGAAGCTGGGTCGGCTGGGGGACTGCGTGAGGGAGGAGGAGGAAGGCGAGGAGGAGGAGGTGAAGGAGGCGCAGGGCAGCGGCGGGAAGGAGTCGGGGAAGGTGGCGTTCTGCGGCATCAGCGGCTCGTTGTGGAGCGAAGCGTTCCGGAACTTGGCCAGAAGACTGTGCTGAGGGTTGAACTCGCTGTGACGGGGGACAAGCACCGGGGGCAGCACTGAGGCGCACACAAACACACACACACACACACACACACAGGAGACGGTGAGTAAGAGAGAGAGGAAATAAGTCATGGTTACCGTAAATCTCGGACTATAAGATATTTTTCTTTTTTAAAATTCTGTGGCGCTAAAACATTCTTCCATGTAACAGTAGACCAACAGAATTGATGAGTAGTTCACAGAGGTCTGATTACATTTTAGGATTTGGGCAGATTTTGGGTAGATTGAATAAAGTTTAAAAGTCCTCACTTATATTATCTTTGTGTAAATATCTCATATACTGTACAGACATGAAAGTGACAAGAGACCACTGGATGCTGCTCCTTACATTTCTGCTTCACACTGACGATTCAGAACAGTCAGTGGCTCACTTGATGAACATGAGCTACATATTTCAATATTACAATGTGGGAGAGGTGCGCTTTATAATCTGGAAAATACGGTATTTAAAGGGCACATTTCACAGTCAAGGGTCACACAGAGCGCTCTTACAAATGTGTTGTAATAATAAGAAGCGAGACCTCGTGCTTTTAGTGGGTTTTAATTACAGATGCTGATGATGCCGGACACTCCACATTTAACGACATTTATGGACGTCTATTTACAGCAGAAAATGTAGTCACCCCAGCTTTAAAACCCATTCATCAATTTTCTTCCACTTAATGAGGGAGTTGCTTGGGATACTGTTGCTACTTCGAGGCCAATTACATTTGGGTCTTTTTACTCAGGGACTGGCCTCCTGCTTGGACTCTGAGGAGCACAGGGCAGCACGGTGGCTGAGTGGAGAGCACTCTCGTCTCTCAGCAAGAAGGTCCTGGGTTTGAATCCCGAATGGAACGGGGTCTTTCTGAGTGGAGTTTGCATGTTCTCCCCGTGCTTGTGTAAGTTTACTCTGGGTACTCTGGTTTCCCCTACCACTAAAAACATGCACACTAGGTTAAATCCTACAGCTCAGGTAGTCCTGACCAAGCCGAGATGGGTTCCTGGGCGCTGCTCAATGTTGACCACTGCTCCTGACGTAAGCCTTAGTGGCATCAGGATTGGTCAAATGCAGAGGATGAATTGCCCTACGTAGATCATTAAAGTGCGCCTTTACCTTACAGGGACTAAAAATGTAGAGGTAGAATTCCAATATTTATGCAGCTAAAGCCTGGAACAGTCTTCTTCTTCGACAATATTAAAATCCAGGTTTAAAACAGTTCTTTAAAGCTGTAACTTGTAAGCCCTCGTAGCTTGATTCAATAGTTTTTCTCACAGATGTCGTGTGAGAAAGTGTTTGTACCTGGGGTCTCGACGCGGCGGTAGTGGTACGGGTTCACACAGATGTCTTTCTGCTTGGACCCGAAGGGGAACTCGCAGCAGTCCAGGGCCTTGAGCTCGTGGTGGGACTGCAGGTCCGGCCAGCGCCACACACGGCAGTAGATGACGTGAGGTAGACCTTTTCTGTGCGACACCTGCAGCCGACCGTCCAGAGAGCGAGGGATGGTCACACACTTACCTGCAACACAGCAACACAACATTTACTTTCAAAAGAACAAAGGGTAAGGAGTGCTGCGTGGTACAAGCGTGTAAAATGATTTAAAAGACCAAGTGCTCAATTGGAAGAGGGGTTTAATTTAGTAACAAAAAGTGGGAGTGTTGACTTTCCACGAGTGCCTTGGATTTTTTTACTTTATGATTTGCCTTCACCTGGAAAGTCAACACTCCACTTTTTGTTACAAAATTCACTAAATTGGGCTGTCCTTTCTCTAATAACTCACTCACACATATAACACATAATACATTAACTAAATACAGAAACTAAAATGTACGGTATTTATGCTAGCTTCTTTATTATGCTAAAGCTAGAGATTTTATACTATCTTCTTTATTATGCTAAATCAAGTGGTTTTTGACACATTCTGACTGTGTTAAAACAAGATTCTCCAACGGGACAAAGCCATTTAGTCTCACTTCAAGAACCATTGCTTTATTTTCTCATTCCAAGGGAGACATGTCTTGTATCTTTTTAAAACAAGATCATTTTGCTTTGTACCATTGGCAGATCTTGTTTAAAGGCAATCACAATGTGCTCAGACTGAGATACATTTTGCAAAATGTTCCAACTCACTGGGCTGACCCGGACAGCTCAGGGCCTTCTCCAGCTCCTCCATGGCTCCTTTCTTCTTCTTGAGTTTCTTCACCAGCGAGTCCACGGCCTTCTCTGCCCATTTCTCCTCCTCGTCGCCCTGCTTCCAGCCCAGCAGTCGCTTCACCGCGGGGCTGGTGAAGGAGAACAAGGACGTGATGGAGGCAGAGGAGTTCATGACCAAGAGACGGGGAAAAAAGGAGCCAAAACTGTAGAGAGTTTGCTTTAAAAGTGACGAAACGAGAAATATTCTTGTTTGGCCAAAGGGAGGCGACAAAAGGTAATTGTGGGAGTCAAAACTACAGACCTATCTGACATTTAATCATTGGAATTAATACAATGCACTACAAAACAATTAATGACAGAAAGTACTAGGAAATTATGGGTGACTAAAGGAATTTCCTTTTCTCAATCAAGATTGTCGGACTCTGTCTCGAGAGAACCACATATACTAGCAATAGCAGCTTTGTAGTTTCACATAAACACATATATTTATCTGTGTTGTAAATATAATCCTATACTTGCTCTCTTGTGCTACAGGTTAGATGCTAAACTGCATTTTGTTGCAATGTTTTGACATAGTACTGAAAATAAAATGCAATCTAATCTACTATTGAGCTGTCAAAAGGATCAGAAATCACATTTTAATCGATAGAGAAACTACTATTGATTTGTCAAGTTTTTGAGCTAAGAAATTCACAAAACCAGACAAAAAAAGACTAAGCAAGAGTTTGAACTTCAGTAACACAAAAAGCACTAATGTTTTGTACTATTATTTTGTATTGATAACAGATTATTGTCCAAAAAAGAGAATTTTGAGATATTCATTGTTGGTATGGAGTCAAAAATTGGGATAAAACTAGTTTGAATTTTGGTGGAATGAGTCTCCCATCGACCCATCAGTGACTGCTTCAGGTCCAGCAATGCGGCAGTGCAGTCACGGAGGGGGGAGAGGGGGGAGAGACAGGGGCCTGATCCGGGACGTCCCACAGAGACGGTTAGTCCTCACGCAGCAGAAGCCCAGGTCAAGTTTCAGGCATCTGCCAAAGAGAAAACAGGAAGAGGCTGCATTGATACATCTGCATTAAACTGATGGAAACTTAAAGAAGACGTACTGTGCCTTTAAAGACCTTAAAGAAGACATACTATACCATGATTATATTATTGTACCATCAAAAACCTTAAAAGAGACATACTGTACTTTAAAAAACCATAAAGAACACCATAAGAAAAACGTTGTATAATAATTGCTGATGCTTTTCTTCCGTCAGAACCGGGACAGAAAAGCACAATCTTGACCAATCTGACCTACATTAAACTTGTATCTGCCTGTATCAAGTCTTATATCTTTGTACAATGCATCTGTCCTGAGCCTCATTTCCACCACCACTACTCTACTCTACTCTTCTACTGTTTATTATTCTACTCTACTACTGTTTATGTACTCTACTCTACTCTACTACAGTCTATGTACTATTCTCTACCCTACTACAGTCTATGTACTCTACTCTACTCTACTACAGTCTATGTACTCTTCTCTACCCTACTACAGTCTATTTACTCTACTCTACTCTACTACTGTTTATGTACTCTACTCTACTCTACTACTGTTTATGTACTCTACTCTACTCTACTACTGTTTATGTACTCTACTCTACTCTACTACTGTCTATGTACTCTACTCTACTCTACTACAGTCTATGTACTATTCTCTACCCTACTACAGTCTATGTACTCTACTCTACTACTCTACTCTACTCTACTACTGTTTATGTACTCTACTCAACTCTACTACAGTCTATGTACTCTACTCTACTCTACTACAGTCTATGTACTCTACTCTACTCTACTCTACTCTACTCTACTCTACTACAGTCTATGTACTCTACTCTACTAGAGTCTATGTACTCTACTCTACAGCAGTCTATGTACTCTACCCTACTAGAGTCTATGTACTCTACTCTACTCTACCCTGACTGGGAGCGTCCCTCTTGGTCCTGGTTCTATCCAGTCTGAGCTGGTAGTAAACCGTTCTAACTGACAGTGATTGGCCTGTTGGAAGCCATGGTTACCACAGAATCACCATGGATACTGTTTTTTTGTTGTACTGGTTGCCAGGATACGGTACCAGATAAAAGAAAACATTCATAAACGGCCCAAACTTTTGTCCCTGATGCTGATTCTCCTGAGTCCCCACAGTATTTTTCTATCTTTCGTCCTAATTTACAACCGCGATAATAATCTTGAGACTGTCTCCAGCTCGGACAGTGATAACAGAGACGATAAAGGCACGTATCCACCCCCCATGGTCACACACTCGCACCGTGACGTCACAAAAGTATTAGTGTGTAGCAAACAAATGGAGAGATTTGAAAGAAAAAAGCCAGAGGTTGTTCTAGATTCGCCAACAATGAGGAATGTCGTCTCTGGCTCTGTTTCTATGATCATGGCACTTACGCCCAGGAGCCAAACTGTCTGGCCAGCAAACATCACAGGACAGGAGGGGAGTGTGTGCGTGTGTGTGTCTGTGTGTGTGTGTATGTATGCGCAGAGAGAGAGAGACAGAGTGAGAGAGAGGCTGCCAGTAAGATCCTTCATTTGCTTCCATAATCTACGCCTTATTTAACACTGATTCCACTGCAAAAAGTTCAACCTGAATTTGTCTCTGTCTGAAAAAAATGGGTAAACGTTGAAATTGAATCTGTTTTAGCGAGTATCGTTTATATACTTAGCGCATTTTAAAGTGCAAGGTCAACCCAAAGTGCTTTACAATGTTCACAGTTCAGATATTTTTCCATTGTGTTTTTTGGGGACGCAAACTATGAGAAACAGCCTCCAGAGTGGACAGAACAGAGACGCTGCAGTTGTGTGAAGAAAAAAGGTGTGAATTTTCTGCCTACGATGACCTCAGCTCTTCCCCCACGTACATTTGGACATGCGCAGAAGCCGAGAACAAACGTAAACAACAATGCCGGCGGTAATGCTAGCAAGCTTAAAGCGCTAGACAGAGGAGGATTCTACTCCTTCTTTAGAGATTTCATGAGACTTTGAAGCAACTGTGGTTAAAGTTAAACGCATCATTCTAACAATTTGCAAAAGGAAGTTTTCCACTACATGTTTTGGTTTTCTGAAGACCAAGCTTGGACGGTCTCCATCAAGAATAAAACACGATCCCAGGCGATTGTCATTTTCTTCACTTCGTCCAAAAAAAACCACAGCTGTCGTTTCCATTTTCGCAGAAGCCGTTAAATGCAGAATGATGTTGGTTCTTTCCTGCTTTTGCTGTGGCCTGAGGAGGTTGTTGTTAAGGAAGTGCATATACTGTTGGGGGTTGCATGTGTTGTAAAGTTCCACTACCCCCAACTGGCCGACACTAGAACTACATTGTTTTCCGCCGTCGTGTAGATTCTGAGCACTTTGAATAAGGAGCCAGGTATTTTTTGCTAATTGCTTTGCCCCGTCTCTGGAGCGTTTCCGTCTTCACGGGGCCCGAGAGAGGGATCTGCTCCTACAGACAGATCCAGGACTCAGACTGTAGAATGAGGACTCAGACTGTAGAACAAGGACTGAGGCTGTAGATCCAGGACTCAGGCTGTAGAACGAGGACTGAGGCTTTAGATCCAGGACTCAGACTGTAGAAAAAGGACTGAGCCGGAGATAAACTCAAAACATGTGAGTGACATTTGTTGTCATCTACAGCCGGTCTGTTTGTGGAGCGGATCCTTCTCAATGTGGGTCTCCTCGAGGTTGCTTTCTTTTTTCCCACCGTTTGTGTTGTTGTTGTTGTTATTGTTGCTGTTGTTGTTCCTTTCCGATGCAGCAGGGTCTAAGGACCGTGCTGAAATTATAACATGTGGTCGTCCCGCTCCCTAATGGCTCCTATATAATTATATAGATAGATAGATAGAAAGATAGAGATAGATAGATATATCGATAATGACTTCCTGCTCCTGTGTATCATTTACAGCAGGGGTCTCCAACCCTTTCAGGTAGCTCCCCAAAGGATTTAGAACTTAACACAAGATCTTGAATGATTAACTTTTGAGTCATTACACATCTATTATAAGTATAAATATAGAGTTATACAGTACTATAGTATATTTTTTACATCTGTTTTCCATGTTTTGTTCTAATTATTACATAGATTTGTATTATCACCACAAAAATGACTCTTCTGTTGTATACAAGTAGCTCTCCTATTGAAAAAGGTTTGAGAACCCTGATTTACCGCAAGAAGCTTTGGAGCTGCTTGTATTGTATATTGTGTATTTTTTTGTGTATTCTTCCTACTGTCCTATACTGTCAGACACATTGCCGCATTGACTATGACACGAATAATCGAAAAACACGTATTCTCAGACGCGACACAATAACAAAACAACCGTGCGTCTAAAGTGAAAGTAAAAACTGTATAAAGACGTAAAGATGTGACGCAGACCCAGAGCTGCGGGTTCAGTGACAGGAGAAAAACAGCTCGATGCGGCAGCGGTGCACTGCTGCGAGCGCGGCTTTTATTGAGCCTGGCGTCTCTCTGTCTGCAGACTCAGATAGGGTAATTACCTAATGCTTTATCGCAAGGACCCCCCTTCCCAAAAAAGTAAACACACAGTTTCCTCTTTACTACTGCACAACCACGCAGCGCCTCCAGCCTCATGCAAGACTCAATAGGACCAGGTTTGAAAATCATCCATAATAAACGCTAAAAAAACACAAAAAGTGACATTCAATTCAAGGTGATGATGGTATCGAGGCTTAAATATTATTACAGAATTAAAACAATCATTAAGTCTATTATTGATGATGTAGAAAGGTCTAAAAACTGTAAAAATCCGGGGTGTTTTTGCACATTTATCAACATTTTTTGACAGTGGTTATGTGTTTGTTATTGTTGTATCTCCTGTGTTTTGAACATAGACTGTATGTTTTGAACGGTTTGATTCTCTGATCTGCTACTGGTGGATCAACAACTTTGTAAACTGCCTTGAAAATACTGCTGTTGTGATTTAGGGCCATACATAAATACATTAAATTGAGAAAGTAGCGCGTACGACACAAATGTAAACAAATAAATGTCAAGAACGCGTCTCAGGCTGGAGTCGATCCCATAAACAGTCTATGGCAAATACAAGCTGAAAGTTAGTTATGTGAAGTCGATTCAATTTAGTCGAAATAATAGCGTGGCGTCGTCTCACCTGTGATGCTGCAGACAAGTGCACAGGGGCCCCGGCTCACGGCTCCTGACGCGGGAGGTGTGTGGCCCCCGGTCCCCGCACTGACGCTGCAGACGCGGGGTCAAGCCAGAGACACGAGCGCGACCACTTCCGCTTCACGATAAAAGCATTTTCAACGCTGTTCGTTTTGTGTTTTGTGGAACTAAATCACAACAGGAGTCGTCTCGGAGGACTTTACAAAGTTGTTGATTTCTCACTAACAGTAGATCAGAGAATCAAACAGTTCAGACACAGGAAATGGGATAATTACAAATACATGAGACATTAGTGCATACGGAGTGAGATACAGGACTGAGGCTGTAGATCCAGGACTGAGGCTGTAGATCCAGGACTGAGGCTGTAGATCCAGGACTGAGGCTGTAGATCTATAGGGGGTACAACCCACAAGTCCATGCCAGGAGATAAAAGGCCAGATTCATGGGTCCCGTTATCACACCACAAAACTGACAATCGGACAGCGGGTGAATAGCCATGAACAGACTACAGCTGGAGTCAGAATGATGACAGATAAAGGAGAGAGGAGAGGATGAGGAGCGGATGCTTTCACTGGTGTTTCAATAACGGACCATATTGCAGCAGTTGTTTTGAAGTTATCATACATTTTATTATTGGCTTGAGCAGTGCCGGTCCTACTCAATAAGCAGACATCGCAGGGCCCCAAGATCATAAGGGGGTCCCCAAGATTACCCCACTCCCACTGCAAAATTAGCCAACTCGATTAAAATGAAAATCTTGATCAATTTTTACAGTGGTGTGGCCTATACCTTTTGCATTTACAGCATTATTATTTATATATCTAATGACACCAGGGATTCTAAACTGATAATAATAATAATAAAACATTCTCGTCTTATGTTGTCAAGCACTTTAAGTTGCCTTGAGTATGAACTGTGCTATACAAATAAACTTGCCTTGCCTGATAATAAAGTTAAAATCACTCTTTGTTTTATTGTGAAGCTAGAGTTTCCTGAGCACTTCCGGTCCGCTCTGCGCACGGGGTGATGACGCTCGTGGATCCGCTCAGTCTGCAGGCGTCAGACTGACTGGAGCCGTCAGACTGACTGGAACCACAGCTCTGTCGTGGATCCCTCCGCCTTCACACTCCACGCGCTTCCATGGGACCCCTGGGAGCGCTCATAGATCTATAATAATAACGGGGAGCGCTACCCACGGGCTGGAGTGCGCATGCGCCACCTGAGCCTCCTCCAGCTCCATACTGAAGAGACTTGACACCTGTTCAGTCCAGACCATGAGCACGCGGCGTCTGTCAGCGTCGGATTTGGACGTTTGTAGCTGTCCACAAAACAGACAGAGATGTATTATCGCCTATAGTCATCATAAAGCGGAGGGACCTAACTTTCCAAACACTTGTTTTATAGGCTATAGTCATCGCTAAGCTAACATGTACAAATGCATACATACAACTATATATTTCTTGCACTGAATATACAGTATTTTTTTATTTTATATTATTTTAATATAGAGTTATTGTTCATGTATCTTGTGCTGTGTGCTCCTCAATCCTACTGTTCTGTTACTGGTGATGCAACACTGGAATTTCCCCTCTGTGGGACGAATAAAGGATCTCTTTATCTTAACTTTCAAACCTGACAGAAAGTTTACAGACATAAATGTGAAAACGTTTATTGTATTGAAGAAGATGCCAAAGTCTGGGATCGCGTCTTTCATTCAGACAGAAGACATGTTTTATTGTCGATGGTAGAGACAGCACGAACAAAGCACACGATCACAGATACAATAGAATGCAAGTGTATTATACAGAGCGGAGGCATGGAGACCTCCAATCAGCAGCTGCCACGGTGTGCTTGTAGCTTGGCCTTCAGATAGACAAAACAAGGGAAAAGTACAGGCTTCTGCACATTGATAGAATGATGAGTTTAACTTTAACAAAAGTTGCTTCAAAGTGTTATGAAATCTCACATTCCCCCCTCTGGTCATACATTCACGTGTGACCATCAGGATTGATAAACAGCAACATAACATCATAACTCAATACTTCAAAAACTCATAAACTCGGTACCTCAAAAAACTCAGAACTCGGAATACTTCAAAAACTCATAAAACATGTTCAGATCTTTCATAAAACTTGTCAACAATCTTCAGTAAAATACCAAACTTCATCAGTCGATGGTGGTTCCAGATATTGCTTTGAAAACAGTCTCTCCCACTTCTCCTGTTGGTTTCTTCAGGCTGCATTTGCTGTGTCGAGCCATGAATTCTTCTGTGACGTGTCTTTCAATCACACGTTTCAGCTTTAGTGTCCAGATTCAGCAATTCAATTCAGTCCAAATGATGTCCAAATTCAGAAATCCAATTGTTCCAAATTATGTCCATGCAAAAGAGGACGCTGGTATTGTCCATGTCTCAGCAGCTCACAGCCTGACTGGAATCAGGGGCTGTGCAGATAGTCCAAGTGTGCTGGTCCAGATGCATGGTTTCTCTTGAGGTTTCTCAGTTTTGGCTTAAAAAAAAACACTTTTTGTGTAAAAAAAAGTAGTCTTCTGTTCTCTAGATGTTACAGACAAGGCCCGCATCCTCCACCACCTGAAGAAGATGCCAAAGTCTGGGATCGCGTCTTTCATTCAGACAGAAGACATGTTTTATTGTCGATGGTAGAGACAGCACGAACAAAGCACACGATCACAGATACAATAGAATGCAAGTGTATTATACAGAGCGGAGGCATGGAGACCTCCAATCAGCAGCTGCCACGGTGCCATGTAGCTTGGCCTTCAGATAGACAAAACAAGGGAAAAGTACAGGCTTCTGCACATTGATAGAATGATGAGTTTAACTTTAACAAAAGTTGCTTCAAAGTGTTATGAAATCTCACAGTATGTTTATTTTGTATTAAACTTTTTATTTGTACGTATTTTTGATCTTTTATAGTTTAGTATAGTTTTTCATAGACAAGACAACTCAAAGTGCAAAAAGAGTGAAGATACAATCCTTCAGTTGTAACAGCTAAACAACTGTTTGTGAGAAGTACCCTGTCTCACATTTTCCCCATGTTTCCTGACTCTGGGACCAGCAGATATTCACCCGTTGTCCCATTGTCTGTTTCATGGTACGATGACGGGATCTCTGAGCCTGGCCTCTTCCGTCTGCGCCTGCGGACTGCCCCGCCCGGCCCGCCTGGGAGTGCTTCGGTCCTGCGCCGGACCTGTCCACGTTCAGCGTCCACTGGTCATGGATGTATTATATTAACTGGATAGGGTATTACTAGCTTGTAGCTGAATAACTCATGTGCTCAGGGGATTCTCGCGGTACTGCAGACTGAACCAGACTAAATTCACGTGGGCCACCCAGAAATTTTCCCCATAGAACTCAATGCATATTAAAACAGCTCAACCTCAGCTGACAGAGAACCTACAGCTTTAATAAAGATCGGATTTTGTGGGGATTTTAGTGTCCCTTGTCATCCTGAACTTTTTTTCTTCTTAAATCCTTCGGTTTTGTTTAAATCCACACTTTAGTGCCACAAACTCTGCTCCTCTGGCTCTCGCTCTAACTCCCGCTCTGATAAACTGCTCTGATTGGTCAGAGCGCGGCCGAGCCCCTCTGTGCACGTGCGTGAGACCCGGTGTGAGACCCACACACGCGTGTTTGGCGCAACGCATTATGGGAGATCATCCACTGCGCAGAACCGGGAGGACCAGACGATGCCCAAATACAGGCGAGTTTCCCATAGATCTTTGCGAGTTTCAGGCAACTTCCGCTAATCTTTCAGCCCCCATGCCATCACAAAGCGCCACTGAGCACAACCATTCATTTGAATAGGGCGCCATCTTGGATCGCCGGGGCTTGCCACTGGTCCACGTTCTGTAGCTAGCTTAGGTCCTAGATCATTAGCCTGTCCGTCCGGAGGAGCGGATCCCTTTCTCATATGGGTCTCCCTCCCTGTGGGTTTCCCTAGTTCTCCTCCAAGGTTTCTCACTTTTTCCCACTGGGTTTTTAGGCCCGAGCCCCGAACGGGGTAAGGGCCTATTGCTTTCACAATGGTGAAAACAAATGGTGGCGGTGCGTGACGGACGCGTCAGCGCCCGTCACTCACCAAAATGTGACGGTTGCGTGCGTAAACTCAAAAGCTTTAAAATGATGTATCACATGCCATTGAAACCTATATTGTTTTTGCTCGAGACGTTAAAAAAAAAATTCCTTTTTTATTAGGCCCGAGCCCCGAACGGGGTAAGGGCCTATTGCTTTCACAATGGTGAAAACAAATGGTGGCGGTGCGTGACGGACGCGTCAGCGCCCGTCACTCACCAAAACGTGACAGTTGCGTGCGTAAACTCAAAAGCTTTAAAATGATGAATCACGTGCCATTGAAACCTATATTGTTTTTGCTCGAGACAAGTCACAAAAAATTCCTTTTTTATTTATTTATTAGGCCCGAGCCCCGAACGGGGTAAGGGCCTATTGCTTTCACAATGGTGAAAACAAATGGTGGCGGTGCGTGACGGACGCGTCAGCGCCCGTCACTCACCAAAACGTGACGGTTGCGTGCGTTAACTCAAAAGCTTTAAAATGATGTATCACGTGCCATTGAAACCTATATTGTTTTTGCTCGAGACGTCGAAAAAAAAATTCCTTTTTTATTAGGCCCGAGCCCCGAACGGGGTAAGGGCCTATTGCTTTCACAATGGTGAAAACAAATGGTGGCGGTGCGTGACGGACGCGTCAGCGCCCGTCACTCACCAAAACGTGACGGTTGCGTGCGTAAACTCAAACGCTTTAAAATGATGTATCAGGTGCCATTGAAACCTATATTGTTTTTGCTCGAGACAAGTCACAAAAAATTCCTTTTTTATTTATTAGGCCCGAGCCCCGAACGGGGTAAGGGCCTATTGCTTTCACAATGGTGAAAACAAATGGTGGCGGTGCGTGACGGACGCGTCAGCGCCCGTCACTCACCAAAACGTGACGGTTGCGTGCGTTAACTCAAAAGCTTTAAAATGATGTATCACGTGCCATTGAAACCTATATTGTTTTTGCTCGAGACGTCGAAAAAAAAATTCCTTTTTTATTTATTTATTAGGCCCGAGCCCCGAACGGGGTAAGGGCCTATTGCTTTCACAATGGTGAAAACAAATGGTGGCGGTGCGTGACGGACGCGTCAGCGCCCGTCACTCACCAAAATGTGACAGTTGCGTGCGTAAACTCAAAAGCTTTAAAATGATGTATCACATGCCATTGAAACCTATATTGTTTTTGCTCGAGACGTTAAAAAAAAAATTCCTTTTTTATATTAGGCCCGAGCCCCGAACGGGGTAAGGGCCTATTGCTTTCACAATGGTGAAAACAAATGGTGGCGGTGCGTGACGGACGCGTCACGCACCGCCAAAATGTGACAGTTGCGTGCGTAAACTCAAAAGCTTTAAAATGATGTATCACATGCCATTGAAACCTATATTGTTTTTGCTCGAGACGTTAAAAAAAAAATTCCTTTTTTATTAGGCCCGAGCCCCGAACGGGGTAAGGGCCTATTGCTTTCACAATGGTGAAAACAAATGGTGGCGGTGCGTGACGGACGCTTCAGCGCCCGTCACTCACCAAAACGTGACGGTTGCGTGCGTAAACTCAAAAGCTTTAAAATGATGTATCAGGTGCCATTGAAACCTATATTGTTTTTGCTCGAGACGTTAACAAAAAAATTCCTTTTTTATTTATTTATTAGGCCCGAGCCCCGAACGGGGTAAGGGCCTATTGCTTTCACAATGGTGAAAACAAATGGTGGCGGTGCGTGACGGACGCGTCAGCGCCCGTCACTCACCAAAACGTGACGGTTGCGTGCGTAAACTCAAAAGCTTTAAAATGATGTATCACGTGCCATTGAAACCTATATTGTTTTTGCTCGAGACGTCAAAAAAAAATTCCTTTTTTTTATTTATTTATTTATTTATTTCTTTCTTTCTTTCTTTCTTTTTCTTCTGCACTTTGAGCCTTAATTTGACCCCCTGAATATGCATGAAAAGTTGTTAATTTTGGCCCAAAAATCAGACCTGGCGAAAAATTTGATATTTTGGTGTTTATTTTTATGGGACTCAAAAAATGACAGAACAGCGCCACCTACAACAGCCAAAATAATACCCCTATGGGATTTTCGGAGGTCAAGTTTGTCGTAGAAACATGAAATTTGGTACACATGTTCCTCAAGTCAAGACAAGAAAAAAATATTATTATGGCCCCGCCCTCTGACAAACAGGAAGCCCATAAATTTCACTGCAAAA